CAAAACCTAAAGCAAACAGAAGAGAAACAACAGAGGTAAGAGGAGCAACAATGACACAGGAAAGAGTAGAGCATCAGGGACATTCAGGAGACCACAGGCTGGCTCTCGCAGAAGATCGGCAACAACGTCAATCTCTAGTCAGGCTCAGGAAACAGAAACCATCAACATTAAGAATGGGAGGTAGGACAGACTCACAGACACAGTCAACAAACTCATGGTTACCAGCAGGGGAAGGGGGTGGGAAGGGACAAACTGGGAGTTCCAGGTTTGAGCATACTGACTACTGTATAGAAAATAGGTAAACGACAAGTTTCTACTGTACAGCTCAGGGAACTATATTCAGTACCTTGCAGAAACCTATACTGAAAAAGAATATGCAAACCAATACATGTTTTAAAAAAGTGGGAAGTGGGACACTGCTCTAGTTTCTACAGACACTAAAAGGATAACAATGGAGTGTTACGCATAACTTCATACCAACAAATCTGACAACTTAGGTTAAATAAACAAATTCCTTGAGAGACACAAACGGATAAAAGTCACCTGGGAAGAAATAGGTAACTTGAACAGTCCTATATCCGTGAAAGAGCATGCAGCTGAAAACCTCCCAACAAAGAAGACTTTGGGGGTGGGGAGGGCGGGGCTGGGGGAAGGGTGGAAGAAATCACGAAGAGCCAGGTCCGCCCTGTTGGCTGGTGGATTTACTTGGTACCTTGAGCACGGTGATGGTTTCACAGATGTATGTGTACGTCGAAAGTCATCAGAGTGTACACTGTAGATAAACTTTGAACAACTTACAGTATGTTCATTATACCTCTATAAACTGAAACAAATAAAGAAATAAGGAGAAGGGTGGTCCCTAGCAAACAGAGGGCTCAAGGGAAGCCTGCTGGGACACACGCCCTCCCGTCAGGGTCCCCACGGCCTCTAAGAGCCACAGCAGGTGTTCAGAGATCCAGTCCCAGCCGGCCCCGGAGCCCTCGGAGCGGACAGACCTGTTCTCCTACACGGGTCCCCAAGTCACTGAGAGTGTGAAGAGCATAGGGAACTGTCATCTGTCCCTCCTTTTCTCTGTGATGATTCTCAACTGCAGAAGCACTTGGAATTAGACTCGCGGTAGCCTGGTGAGAGCCCTCAGCGGGGACTTGGGCAGGGGTGCTGGGGATGGAGGGTCTGTTCTGGGCTCATGCTCCCCTGCGGATCGGAGGCTCAGGACATCGCCAAAAGCCACAGGTGCAGGGGTCTGTTTTCCCTCTCTTCCTCTAATTCCTTCTTCTTGCTGGGGTCTACTACGGAAGACACTAACAGCTTTCAGCCTCAGGCCCCAATCAGAGCCACTCAGGAACTCAGCAGAGGGGCAGACTCCCTGCCCATCCTGCGCCACGAAGCCTGGGCCTCAGTGATCTTCACTGACTCAGAACGCTGCTTTAGTTACTTTAATAGAGACCAAAATAACAGTGGCTTTAAACAGACAGAAGGTTCATTTCTCTTGTGGAAAAGACAAGCTGGTAAATGGTCCAAGGAGCTAAGGTGGCAGGACCCGCTAGCTGATCCAGGTAAGGTAAAACCAGCTGTCCCAGTCTGCCCAGGACAGAGAGGGTTCCCAGGACACAAGCCTTCTGGTGTGAAAACTGGGAAGTCCCAGGAAAACCTCAATGAGCTGGTCAGCCTCATCTAGGGATGTTCTGCCATGCCCGGGTGGCCCTCTATCTGCTTGGGCAGGCTGGGCTCAGCACCATGGTGGCCCGGTTCCACCCAGAAAGGGGACAGAGGACTAGGGGCCAGTGAGAAGTTGAAGCCACCTCTTCCATTCACCTCACAATGGCCAGAGCCCCACAGAAGCAGCCGAGGGGGCCACGGCCCAGCTGACACTATGGACCTTCAAGAGAAGGGATACTGGGACACTCACTGAGCCAGCAGAGGGGAGAGGTGGGGGAGGTGGGGAGGGGGCAGTGCGTGTCAGGAAAGACACCCAAAAGTAGGAGCTGTCTGTCCTTCAGGAAGCCCCAGGGACTGGGGGAGCCTGCAGTGAGACCCCACTCCATTGCTACCTGGGGTTTCCCCCCACCAGCCTCCCCACAAGGTATGACAGGGTCCCTGGACAAGCTCCACCTCTGCTCCACGTCAGCGCTCCGGGAGTTTGGCTGCATCGTCTCCATGGCCCCTCCAGTGAACCCCATGAGGTGGGCATCACATCCCTCTTTGTAAGAGGGAGAAATCTGCTCTGAGAGGAAGAGGGACTTGCTAAGATCACTTGCTTTTGGGCAGCAGAGCTGAGAATTGTAGTCATGGCTGACTCAGTCTGTGCCAGAAATGGGGGTGGGGATGTGGCCGAGGACGGTCCTCCAACACTTCAGCCCCTAAGCTCTCCAACCTTGCCCCTGACCAATGACTAGAGCCTGACCAGGCTGGGCATGGTAGCAGCCAACCAGGGGCCCAGTACGGGGGGAGGCTGGAAGCAGGCTGGAGCTGCCTGAAACTGGGGCCCTGGGGACCAAGTCCTTTCCCCAGCCTGGCTCCTCGAGGCAGTAGTAGCTCAAAGCAGAAAGGAGGGTGTGTGGCCCAGGGGTCTGGTTCAAGGAGGTGGGAGGTTTGCTGGATCCTGGAGGCATCCCTTCATCAGCTAAGAGAAGGCTGGTTGCAGGGACCGGGGGCTCGCTGGGAGACCACAGTGCCAAAGGCAAGGCTGAGGCTGGAAGCCAGGTCCAGGGTGAGGACCTGGTCATCCCTCCCATAACCACCCTCATTTCTGTCCCTCTGGGGTGGGAAGGAAGGGTGAGGTCTGGAAGAGAAAGGACAGCTCCTCCAGGACACGGTAATGCTTTAGAACATACGTTTATTTTCATCAATCTGTAGTACATATGTTCGCTTCTTACAAAATGATGCTAAGCTGCAGACTAGGGAACACCCTGTGATTCCTCACCTGAGCCCCAGCAGGGGAGCCCCTCTCACTGAGCTGTGGGAGGGAGGGTGGGGCAGATATCACAGGGAGGACACGCTGCACGATGAAATCACCACCCAGAGGCACTGGGTGCAGGGGCAGCATAGCCAAGACCCTCCGGGGCCCTCGCAGCACCACGGGCCTGGCCTGGCACTGTGTCCCACCGAGAGATGGCTGTAGTGGAGTCTGCTGGGACACCCCACCACACACCAGCACATTCACAGGCAGGCGACTGGCCCAAGGCCACTCAGCCGGTCCATGCACTGATGGACCTCAAACCCAGGTGGGTCTGACCCACCAGCTCCCCCAAACGCTGAGCCAAGGAGGAAGGGACCTTTCCTCCCCAGAGGGTGTGGCCAAGCCAGCGGGCCAGGCGGGCTCCGGGACAGGTTAGTCTCATCCCGCAGGCAGAAGTGACCTCGCCCCTGGCGGGAGGTGGGAGTGGAATGACACTTGGCTGAGCCCCTCCCAGAGCCAGCTCCTCCCAGGGATTACGCCAGGCTCTCGCCGCTCCCACAAGACCTCTGGGGCCGGGGCGCAAGATCCACTTCAGCAGGGAGCCGTAGGCGGCAGGAGTGACAGCCTGCGGGCCTGTCCCCCTCCCTGGGGCGTGGTCTCCCAGTTTCCTCCCCACCCTCAGTTTCTGTCCCTCGGGGTCCTCCATTCATTCCGCGCTCGCCCTGCCCGGGCCCTCTGAAGTGAAGGCTCAGACGGCACGACTCCCAGCTCTCTCCCAGCGAGCCCGCGACG